GGGGGGGTGGGGCCCCCCCCCCCCCTGCCCCTGCTCCAGCTCCAGTTCCAGCCAGGCCAAGCCTAATTTTTGCACATAGGTAAAACGAGGTTAATGATACCATTCCTATTTCCTTCAGAAAGTGTTCTGATGATAAAAAGCTCTATATTTGAACTAGGTATTATTATTATTTACTTGTTCTATGCAAAATGTACAGGATAAGCAAAGGCAGCAAATATTATCCTAAAATTTGCCACCTCTAGCAGTGAAGGAATAATTTATTCTTCCAGAATCATTCAAATCTATGCTTTATTGATTAGAGTGCCAAAAAACAATCCTTTTAAGGAAAGAGTACATTATTTATTTCTCACTTTTTTAATGTTTTTAGTGGAAAATGAAAATTGTAGAGCGGACACTGCCACAGATATAAATATGCTTTGAAAACGTTACACAACTGATGGAAGTTCAGTGTGCAAAAACTAACACTGCATCTGCAAAAGAAAACATAAATGCTTTTGTAAAGTTTTACACATAGCTTTAGAATGAGGACCCTTTTTTACTTATATGCGGCATCCATACGAGCATGGACATTTGTTTCCCTGGGGACAACTAGGAGTGGGATACCTTGTGTCATTGCTAGTTATCCCCTGGGAACACCTGTGCCATGTGCCCTGTGGAGTGCAGCAGGTTATCATGGGTGCAGTAGGGGAGGCTCAGGCCAACACTGGGCTGGCCCCAGCAGCCTTGCCTGGGACCCTGGGGGCCACCTGGGGCTGCAACAGTGGTGATCCTGCTGCTCAGAGCCTGGCCAGCAGCCGGAGTGTGGCTCCAGGCAGCCAGGCTCTGGTTTTGAGCGGCGTGTGCTGCCTCCATGTGCACTGTTCTTTTTTATTTTGTGAGGGTTTTTTTGGCCCCCTGGATACTCAGGGTCAAAAAACCCGTCCACGCTGCTCCCTTGCAGCATGGAGAACAGTTGGATGTGTGGTATGTGGTACCACGGATGTCTCTACAGTGCCACATACAGCAAGCTACACTCATCTGGATGTGGCCATATTGTAAAATTTATGTTGAGAGTATAGGCTTTGTGGGTTCTATAATATCACTGAAGGCTGCATTTAAAATAAAAAAAAATGTTTAGGCTTGAGATATGATCAACTTGAAATGGCAGACATGTTCACAAGAAAACACTCAATTGTTGCTTGTAATAGTTCCATAACTTCTACCTTTTTGTATTGAAATAAATTAGGGACACATTAAAAGCCTCTCTCTGCAAACCCTTACATATGTGCATTAAGTCAGACAAGCACAGTAGTAAAGGGCTGGGACCATACTTTTCATTCCATCCAGGAAGAGCACACACCAACTGCTGCAGCTTCCTGAGCCTGACGAAGGGTTTTTGAACCCGAAAGCTTGCTTAATAACTATTCTCCAACCATTTGGGTTGGTCTAATAAAAGATATCAAATTCACCCAAGGAACCTTGTCTGCCTATATCCTTAGACCAACACGGCTACAACCTAAACCCCTGGGACCATACTCACTCATTTGAAAGATGCTGATTTGCATATTTAGGAGAATAACAAATTTCTGCAATTTTTATATTCTTACTTAGTCACTTGGGAAACCATATTTTGTTTCTTCATATGTACAGGTATAATACAAATAACAATATTTTGTCCCTTTTGCCAAGATACTTTGCCAATATCTTCTGTGTTCTTCTCTGCAGATTTTTTGGAGAGTGGGACATACTAGAATTCAAAGTACATTATCAACTTAGAACAACCATTAAAATGACCTTTCAAAATACTGAACCACTTCCTTGCTCCAAGATTATTCTTTGACCTGAAGTTGGAGCAATGGGCATATTCCAGACAAGGGAGAAGGGATATTGTATAATAACTATTACACATGAGTGAGAAGAATCATCCTTATTCCATACACCTGCAACCAGTGATAAATAACAGCACTGTCAGTTATCACTTCCTGTTTTGAAAACTTTAGTGTTTTACAATCAGACTTATACTAACTTTGCCCATGGAATTCACTGTATATCACTACAGTACTAGCCTCTGGTGAAAGCACACTAAATGTAATGCAAGATAATGTAATGAAGCCTGATGTATTCTAAAGCCTGTTTGGACCGCCTGTTAAATGTGGCAGATATAAAAGCAGAAGGAAATAAATACCCAAGCTTATTTACTAAGTGGTAAAACCATGAACCTTTGAGTCAACAGATGCCTGGCCAAAACCTACAAATAAAGATACTCTGCAGGAACTGAAAGCCAATCACACTAAGCCAGAGTCAAGTCCACGAGTTGATAAATGCATTAAAGGTCAGTTGGAAACCAGGTGGAGAGAGACTGGGAACCTGTGTAGGGCCTGTGTGGCTGAGCATGTCCTTGGAAATGGATGACAGCCAACAGCAAAGCCTCTGCCCTGAAGTGAACAGAATGGTACTTCAGTGCTAATTACAGTAACAGCTGTGCTAAATAGCTGAGGAGCATCTGCTGTGAAAATTCAGCTTTAGCTTGCAAAAATTCTCTTCTTTTAAACATGGTGGATTGTATTACCAGTTGTATATTTCTGCTGCAGATTAAAGCATGCAGAGACAATGGCTTCCAGACTTCTTTAACAATTAATTTCTGCATTGCCTGAAGTCATCCTTCAGGGAGTTTATAAACAAAGAACTGAAAAACAATGCACCTTTCCATCAATGTATAAAGAAGTAGGAAAGAAAAATCCTCGTGAAAGATCTTTCACCTGTTTTGAATATCTCTGTGTACCTGTCATTTTAGTACTACTGTCTGGCAACAAGTATTAGCCCATTAAAGCACACAACTGCTGTCGCTGTATTAAAAGACTAACATTTAGGGGAACAATAAAGAGGTGATATTACTTTGCTCTAAGCAACATAATATACTCAATGAGGACCAATATTTGGTTGAGGAATAAAATGTCGACGTGAATTATGGATTTGGAGTCTGGACTGATTGAAGCCATTTTTCACCAGTATGATACACAATACATACAAAAGGCTTAATTTTTGTTTTTCTGTTTGATCATTTGGCCACACAACACATTTATACCAGTTAACCTGCCCATACATCATTGTAAAAAAAAAAGGAGCAAATATGCAAGGTATGATTTTACACTGGTTTTGCTCAGTGGGATCAAGTATTGAGTTATCCCAGAAAAACTACATTGGTGTAAATTACTGGATCCCCTGCCACCTCAGGATGAGGTCTCATAATAGCCCCCTACTGTGGCAGCTACCCTGGAAGAGCTTATCAATTGTCTGTTCTACATACCACTACAACTTACATTAGGGACCAAAATAGATAAATGCTGTACAACTGTTATTCTGTTATGTGTTCAGACCTTTTATTTACCATGCTAAAGTTTAATACAGTTTCACTCATTAAGTGTTTTTGGTTTCTTATGTATGCTTTTGCTCCTTTTAATTCCACTGCTTCCATAATTTGCACACGTCAAAAAGGATTAATGTATTCTTTTGTTTCATGGGCTTGACAGGTCTCACTCATGTCTACACTGTTATACTTCCTTGATTTTTTGTGGAACTGAAAGGAATCTTCCAACTATTATTGTTTTTGGAAAGGAAATAATGAACCATTTTTTTGCTATCCATGGGAGCTATCTCAGGAGCTAAAAACATTTTATAAAGATGTGAGCTATCTCAGGAGGATTTTTGCCTAGATTTACCTTAGACATATAACCCATTCTGAGATAAATTACAACAAACCTAAGGATGGCTGTACTGATAAGAACAGACTAACTCAACTACAAACAGATTTTATAGTTTCCACTTAATTCAAAGGAAATTCAGTCTTATAGGATTGGTTCTAAACTCTTGAGGATGACTTTAAATCTTCATGGAGGATACTTCCCAGTCACATAACACTTTTTGTCCATAGTATCACTTGGTGTGTATGCATACACACACACAAATACACATCCCCACTCCCCATTTTGTCTCAATCACTCCAAACAAGCGGTGGTTGCAACTGGCAGGATACTGCAGAAGTATTCATAACTAAGAAGTATGAGACTAAGAGACAAAATGAGGTTCAAACACTAATATCTGAAATATCCTCCAGTAAGGCAGAGAAAGTATCTTTTCACCCACTAAACCTAAAATTTTAGTGGTGACTGCCCAAGATGGTATTCTGAAGCATTTCAATTTTTTCTTGAAGCACTTTTCATCAAATAAGGAGTATTGGATAAATATTTAAAACTTTAATGTAATGTATTTTAATTTTTGTTTAATCCTTTTATACACTCCTGATTTTGCAGTTTTACTACTCACCCCTTCAAGTTCATTACCTTAAGTAAATACAGCAAGAATTATTTTTTTCATCTTTTAAATCAAATTATAGTGTAATCAAAGTAAATCCTCTATCAGTTGGCTTAGGAAATCCAGTCCCTAAATGAAATCAAAATAACTTCTGACTTTTTAAATAGAATTCAAATTATTAGCAAGCTATTATGAAAGTTGCAATTTAAAAAAAATATATAATATAAGGCATTTGTGGTGAGGGGTTGCAGCTGAACCATAAATTACACAGTACACATTATTCCTCAACAGAACAACATGATATTTGCATCAAACCAATTATCAGAGTGTTCTGTTGCCTAGATACAGTAAATTTGAAGTTTAATGCATTTTAGATGGGCATTTCAATTGCAAATAAAAAGCCAACAGTTTTTCACTTAGTGTACAGTACATACAGAAAGCAGTTTGCTGCAATCTTCCATTCATTTACTCTTAAGAGAAAGAAGCAGTTTAACCTTCTGGGCAAGATTTAGATATTCATAAATACTATGCTGTGTGAAAATGTTCCCAAATTTACCTGTTCCCAGGCGAAGACATGTTGATTGAAATAGAATTGAATCTGTTCATTAGCAATGTTAATACACAGTTGTTCAAAAGAATTCTTCTTGAAATTTTCAAATCCAAAAATATCAAGAATCCCAATGTTCAAGCCATCATCATTTTCACTGCAAAGATTAAATAAAGTCATCATATTTTTATTTTACATGACCTCTAATTTCATTATTGTATCAAGAAAGCAAATAATAAACTAAATGTCCATGGATGCTATATCTAGATGATTTGATATCAGTCAGATTTACTTTAGAAATATAATCCTTTCTGATATGTAATACAACAGATATGGACATGTAAGAATAATTATACCTGCAGAACAACCTAATTGAATTGTAATATTGGTGATCTCTAATGGCAAATACAAGTTAGATTTCCAATTTTATGTTTAAAATAATATTGATTAGTCTGTCAAAAAAGCCAACTACAGCACATAAACAACATTCAATTGCTCCTTGTTTCTATGGTAATAAAATATGCTTTACTGGATAATACCTTGTAATTAAATGCCAGTTACTGCTTGCTTTCAATTACAATGCATGTAATGCTTAGGAATGATTTGTATAAAAAAAAAGTCTAAAGAAAGGTCCCTGCATTCATTATTATGTTCCTAAATACCCTTTTTAAGAATTAAAAATTGGATTTAGACAGAAAATTAACTTAGCAAATATGTTCATGGGAAAGGAATTTAAAAGAGTAGCTTAAGACACCCAAGTTTGAAAATATGATCTTACATGCCTCTATCAAGAAACCTGAAAGAAATTGAACCAATACTGGAATTGGGTGAGTAACTGATTTTTTGGTACAGTGGGCAAAATGGCAGGTATTATTATTATTATTATTGGTTACCACAAAATGGAAAGTTTGTTTTTTTGGCTAATTATAAAAGTTTATTCTGGGTCACATGGAAAATTGTGACCTGAAACTAAACATTTTGTTTGATGGAGTATTTTACATAATCAGGTTTTCATAAAAAACACATGACTTTTGCCAATGAAGGCCTAAATTCACAAGCATTTTCTGAATGTAGTCTGAAAAATCAAAATGGTTCAGTTTGGAGCTATTAAAATGAAGCACTCTCACATTTCTATCCTTTGCACCCTTTCTCCCCACCCCCTGCTCTTTTTTGGTTAAAATAATGAATTCAGGTCAAAATCAGCAAATAGTTTTAGTTGTTCCAGAACACATTATCTGTTGAAAATATTTCACATAGCTCTATCTTATACAGAATGTCAAGAAATTAGTAAGTAAATTCCCTTCCAGACTGTAACAAGACTTGTTCCATTGGCTAAAGGACCCACCAAGGATACTCGGTAGCACAGAAAAGAAATATGTGCATCAGTTAGCAGTGCTGGTCAATCTTCCATGCATTTCATCTTCACATCCATTGATTAAAATTATATTTATTTGTGTTTTGCTGCTATTTAATATGGGAAAGTTTAGAAGAGACTCTTAAAAATTGAAGCCTCAGATTTCACCCAGTTCTTCAAAAATGAAAGTGCAGATTTGCTGAATTGAAATATAATGGATAGTTGGAATCAAGAAGCAGTTTATTCTATTTCCTTACCACCAGCAGCCTCAAGGTGCCTTAATATATATGACTTGTTAACAAAACCATATAACTTCTTCAACAGGTTTGCTTACATGTTATATCCCAGTCTCTTACCCCCTAATCTGGCTACACTTTTAGACAGTAAGGCTGAATCCAGATGAGCGTGGATGTGCCATATGTGGTACCGTAGATTGGTCTATGGTGCCACGCACCACACATGCAGGTGTTTCCTGTGCTCTTAACTTGCAGTGCAAGAAAAAAACAATACTGAAAAAAATGTGAGGTGGCACACATGGTGGCAACGCGCATCGTCCTAAACTGGAGCCTGCCTGGCTGAAGCCATACTTTGGCTGGTGGCCATGCTTCCTGCTGTGGTTGCAGCCCTGGGAGGCCCTCAGGACTCCAGGTAAGGCTGCTGGGGCCAGCACAGTTGCTGTCCCCAGTCTTCCCCACCCCACCTAGGGTAGCCTGCTGCACACCAGAGCATGTGTGGCATGAGCATTCCTCAGGGACAAGTAGCAGTGGTACAAGGTATGCCACTGCTACTTGTTCCTGGGGAAACAAGCATCCACACTTGTCTAGATGTGTGTGTCCACACATACAGACATGTGCATTTGCCACAGCTCAAATAGCAGTGGCACAAATTTGTGCTGGAGATTTGTGCCTCAGCACATGTGTCTGAATGTGTACTTTGATGCAGGGCAAGTTGTGCTGCTTGGGGCAAACTGCCCCTGTCCAGCTCCTCCTGGATTTTTAGCTAGGGGGAGCTGGAGGCTGGGGCCAGCACAGGTGCTGGCCCCAGCAGTATAAAAACCTGCTTTGGTGAGCAGTTCAAGGCTACTTGCCCTCAGGAGCTTCTGCGGCCCGGCCATGTGGTATCTGGGGACACTAGCCCTTTGTGCCAACTGGAATGCTGCAGCAGCCTGGACCTAGAGTGGCCCCTGCATCCTCTACCTACTGCAACAGTCTGGCAGTGGGAGCTGCTGCCTGGCTGTGACCTGCTGCAACTTGTGACCCATGGTCCCAAGGCTGCGCACCTGCCAGACCCAGATGGGGACTGCATGGCCACTTGGGTTGTGGTATGGGCACTGAAGCAGAGCCGCCTGCACCGCTGGGCCAGCTTCCAGTGGGCCGAGGCTGCTCAGTTGGCCTTTGTGTGGCACTGTTGTCATGTCTTCCAGTGCCCGTGCTCTGCCATCTGGGCAGCTATCACCCAGAAGATGTGCTCATTACGGTGGTCCACTGTGAACTGTTTAAGTGTGTCCTCCTGGCTCTAAATGACCGAAAGGTCAGCCACCTCGTCCGCCCTCCAGCTGGGTCCCTGATGCTGGCCCTGGGCAGGCGTTTCTGCCAGTCTCCCCACACCTGGCTCACCAGCAGGGATCCTGGTTTGCTCTATTTAAAAATCACAAATTCTCTGATAAAAACCCCAAATTCTCTAATTAAATCTTCAAATTCCATGTTTTTTCTTTATGTTTTATTGATATATTTACAATTTTAATGCTATTTGGAAGCCCACCACTGCCTCAACCATTACAATAAAATACATTCTAAATACTTATATATTTTGGCATTTGCTTTTGGTTTTTTTATCATAGGAAATTAGAGCTCCCCCTGTGCCCTTCACTCACCAGGATGAGGGTCCAGCTGTGACTGTCTCTACAGCTGCTTTGTGGAACTGAGCAGCACTGATGTGCTGGTGCCCTGCCTCTGCCCCTCACTCCCAAGCCACAGCCCCCGCCTGCCCCTCACTAATTCCCTCCTGGCAGCAGCTCCCACCCTGCACCAGGACATGAGTCCAGTTGCAGCTGTCCTACCTACAGCTTTGTGGCTCTGAGCAGTGCCAGACCTTGGTATTCTTCTCCCTGTGTCTGTGCCCAGGCCTCAGTGATCCCCATGCCCTTCCTAGAAAGCCCTTGACTGTGGCCAGCCTCCCCCTGCACGGGCTGTTCTAGGAGGACAGGGAGGCTCCAAGCCCGGCTTTAGTGGCTGCTTCTACCCATAGCCTTCTTCTCCCTCCCCCTCCCATCTCTCTTTCTCTCTCACACCCCTGCTGCCACCCCTGGCCCATCACAGACACACACAGACCATGCTGCCACCTTAATCCCCCCCTGCCCATGACCCACCCCTGCTGTGACCTTCACCCCTTCTGCCCAGTACCTCACACCCCCAAGTGGTACCCAAGACCAGGAGCCCCCCCCAGGCTGGGGCTGTGTGTCCCAGCACCGGTGTGGGCATGGGGCAGGACTGCAGTATGGCAGCTGCCCATGTGGCTACGGTTCCTGTCAGCAGGTCCTGTCCTGTCCTGTCTGGTGGCTAGGTATGCAGGGTGTGGGATTTGTGGTGGGGGTGTGGAGGAGGTTGTGAAGCAGTGTGGGAGGTGGAGGTGTGTGTGGGAGTGTGTGGGATTTGGGGAGGTGTGGGGGTGTATGGCAGTGTGTATGGGGGTGTGTGTGGGTGTGTGTGGGGTTTGTAAGGGTGTTGGTGGGTGTGGTAGTGTGTGGTGGTGTTTTTGAATATGGGCCATTGTGGAGTTTTTTGGGGGGGTGTGGGTTTGTGAGATGTGTGTGTGTGGGGGTGTATGGGAGTGTGTGTGAGGGGGGAGGTGTGTGTTGGGGGGTGTGGTTTATGGGGAGTGTGGAGTTTGTGAGTGGGGAGTGCCCCTGCCACACACTGCCCTCTATGGTGCACAGCCCCTGCTGCCAGCGGCAGCAGCAGGTACAGGGCATTTCGGGTGCTTATGGCCCACTGCAGGCGGAGCCCCACAGTGGCGCACAGCTCCAGCTGCATCCCTGGAGGCTACATGTGGCAGCATGGAACTGGCCCACCTTGCTGCCGCATGCCCCCCATAAATCTCACATTCCCTACAACCCGCCCACACAGTCCCACACCCACGTCCCTCCACAAACTGCACACACATGCACCTCCCAAGACTCAGGCACAGCCACGTGCCACTGGGGCACTTTGCCTGCTGCTGTTCATAAGCACCCCAAGGACCTGCTGCCTATTGCTGCTATGAGCCGTGTCCTGCTTGTATTTTCTCCAGCATGCAGCAGGGGGATGCAGAAGCCATAGAGACACCCTGACTGGCTGCCAGAGTGCCTCCTTGGAGGACCCAGCCTCTGGCTGCTTCCGGGCATGCTCTGAGAGTGCGACACACACTGCTTTTTTCCAGCAGTTTTTTTTGATACTGGATTGCAAATATGCAGCACAGGGAACATTTGCTTGTGCATGGTGTGTCTTTTGCAACATCTCAAAGTATTTGAGATGCTGTAATACACATGGGCATGCTTGTGTGGACATGGCCTAAATGTTTTCTGTGTCTGTACAGTGCCCAGCACAATGGAACCTTAGATCTAATAGGGGCTCTTGAGCATTATCATAATGCAAATATTTAAAAATAAGGGCACAATGTCACTTATTAATGAATGTCAGATTTGACCCTACAACTAATCTAAAGGAAAAAATACCTGATGTGTAACTATGATAGGTTACAATAGAGATACTCTTGATTTACATGAGTAAATTACATGAGATCAGAATTTTTCCCAGTTAATCTATAGATAAAGGCCAAGACGCCAATATTTTGGCTATTTACTATATTTTCACAGCATATTTTCACATTTTCACTGTGCTTTTTAAAAGCACATTTTCACTGTGCTTTTAAATAAGC